GGAGCTCTGTATAAATTACACTCAGAGTAAACTTAATTATCCACTGGCTTCAGACAGAGGTTTTTTCATCTCCTCTGAGCTCGCATGCTAAGCAGAATCCAGCTTGCTTATTACAGAGTGCTGCAGGAAATCATTTAGGTGATTCAGTAGGAAGCAAACTTCCCTTTGAGTCAGACTGGACCAGGTCTCTTAGCAAGGTCTTGGAGGCAGAAGTGCCCTTGAAGGTCCAGAAACTTGGTCATAAAGAGCCATTGTCACTTCTACAAATGTTGAGGTGTTAAAACCTCATGTCCTGGGCAAGTTCCAATGTGTTCAGCGATGTTCTGGCTACTAAAGTTCCCACTACTGATGGGTTTTGAAAAACAGATGCTTAAAGTTAGATCACTAAGTCCATGGTAAAGTCTGGCCTGATTTTCAAAAGTGCTGTGCATCCAGGAGCTCCTGCTGATGTCAACTGGACCTGAGAGTCCTTAAAACTTACACACATACTGAACGGTTGGCCTGAGGTGGTGTATTGTACCCAGTTATTTGTGGTGCCTGCATCAGCCAAGTGGAAACCTGATGGTAGCCCATCATCAAAATAAATCCAGTAGGTTCTGGTCAAGGTTATGGGCTAGGAATGATGTCATCTGCCTTTTTCCTCTGTGATGTGCCCCCTGGTGGCTTTTGCATACATTCCTTTACCTCTGACACTAGATTATCTGCAGTGATGGGAGTTCAACCACTGAGTTCTTCAAGCTCCACTGTAGGTAAATCCTCCTTCATAATTATACCGTTTCCTGCATCCACTGAGTGCAAAAGTGACCTGTTAGGAAAGGGGAAAATGGGACTTTCTGACAAGGAAAGAGTTACTAATTTTAGGTTCTTTTTCAAAATCCGGTTTTGTCACTTTTGACTTGATTTGTTTTTTTTCTTCTTTACTCCCAAACATATAGTTGAGTAAAATCTCATTCCTAGTGTAAACTGAAACAGATCTTAAAGTTATAACCTTATAATAATAATATATGCTTATCTCATAGAGCTGGAAGGGACCTTGAGAGGTCATTGAGTCCAGTCACCTGCCCTCACAGCAGGACTACATATCATCCCTGACAGATTTGCCCCAGATCCCTAAATGGCCTCCACAAGGATTGAATTTGTAACCCTGGGTTTAGCAGGCCAGTGCTCAAACCACTGAGCTATCCCTGCTCCCCACTGAGATTTCTTTACTTGACTCTAGAGTTTATCCAATCATTTCCATCTTGATCTTGTGGTTTTTATTTCTTACTTACCAAATTTGACAGATCCTCAGTTTTATTTTGTTCTATTAGCTGTTTACTAGTCAGCATCTTAATAATCTTGAACAGTCACTTCTCATTTAATATCAGATAGCAAGAATCAAGTTTCTAAATCTGGAATGTGCCTGGAATGTCACACAGTTTAACAGTTTTTGCTTTACATTGGTGTATCTCACTGCCATTTTCTATCCAATATTTTAAAAAAACGAAGATGTCTCTTGTTAAAGTATCACATTTTCTTGGTGACACTTCACAATTTGTTACAAATACAGGTATGCATTAAGGAACATGTTTAGAAATCATTGCTTTTTGTGTTTAAACAATATTGTGTAGAGACACAACTGCAGTTGCAGTCTTTTAATGATGTACTTTTAGGCAGCCAGATTGCAAAATGTTGTATGCCTTTGTGCATGCGTTTAGCCCTGATAATAGCTCTTGTAAGCAGCAGCAAAGTAACGAGTGAAAAGAACCAGTTTCCAGTCCTGCTCTGCACAAAATACTGGACCAAATTTTTAGCCGTTCTCAGCACTCAGGAGTTTTCATTGTCCTAATGTAATTTCTTACTGTTCTCAGTGTCATCTTGAAAATCTAGCCCCACTGGTGGGCGCTGAGCACTTTTGAAAACTTTGTCCCACTAAAAATCTTTGTGGACCGGTTATTTCAGGCCATGGTGGTCTAACTTTGTTGCTATTCAGCAGAAAAGTAACTCCCTCCTGGCATGGTGGAGTGTGGGTGTGTTAGCGTGATGGAGAAGCGGCTGTGACCTTTTCACTGCCCATTATTTAACCTGGACGGTTGGTCTTCCAGTTCTCTTCTCTTTGGAGAGCTGTTGTGCAGCGCTGGGGAGTCAGTGTGGTTGTTTGAATGCTGCTGTTTGCTGTTTTTTAAAGGACTTCTAGCCCTTCCCTGGGGTTACTGCAGCAGGAGTTCTTACCTGTACTCCAGCCCAGCATGCAGACTGCTGACAGGTACCAAGTGGAAACCCCTGCTCATAGTGTGCCGTGTTTTGTCAACATGTTTTTACTGCCCATGGTTTTCAGCTCTTTTTTATTCATGTTTTTTTTTTTCATTTGTACCTACATTCTTTGGCAAACCATGTTGTACACTTGTAACCTTTTATTTTTTCCATAAGTTGCCAAATGTCTGTATGTTCAACTTAATCACCACTGTAGACTTTAAACAAAAATACAGGGATTTTGATCAGATGATACAGAAATCCAGTCAGCTTATTAAAATGCTTTTCAAGAGTTTATTACTGCCCCATTGGCTCTACTAGCAATAACTTTTCTTCAACCAAAGTGGTTGCTGGTCAGAATTTTATCTTGCTGTTAGTGAAAAATAGTCACCTCTGCCAAATGCTGTAAATAATATTCAGCGCTGCTAGTTTGGTATCGACTATTTTGTGATCTTGATGGCTGCTCTGCGCTGAAAACTTACCCTGGCATAGCTGTCTCTCTCAGGAGTGTGAAAAATACACATTTCTAAGTGGTGTA